TAGGCCAAATACAAGCCCTCTTTATGCAGATGTCTAACACTTACATTGCTAAAGCTAAGCATGTAAGTGGTATTTCAGGCCTCTTACATGGAAGCAGGTTTTTTTTTTGGGGTATGGGGGAGCAGATCGTGGCCCCTGTGCTGAAGGAGGGAGTGGGGCAGAGGCTGGGATGAATTGGGCCCTAGGGCTGGGGTGGGTCATGGGATGGAGGGGCATGTGACCCCCAGATTTGTGTATGGGACAGAGGTGGGCTGTGGGCTGGGACTCTCTGCGCTCTGCTGCCTTTGCCCTGGGAGCTGCATACTGGCTGTGCCACGCATCCCCTGCCTGCCTGGCAGCGGGAGACACAGCATGGCATTGTGTGGCTCTCAGGCATTGGCAGCAGTGCACAGAGCCCCAAGCCCACAGTGCACAGCCTGCCTCTGCCCTGCACACAAATCTAGGGGGCACATGCCCCTCGTGCCTCCCCTGTGGTCGCATGCCACAGCAGGAGTCACACATCCCCCATGTCTGGACCATGGCTCTGTCCCACCATCCGCCAGGGCCCCATTTACCCCAGCCTCTGCTCCTGCCCCACTCCTTCCCTCACAATGGGGGCCTTAACCTGCCCCCCCATCCCTTCCCTCCCCCATGCCCTTTCCCCTCCACAGACTTACCTGCTGGGCAGTATCTGTGTATGTCTGCATCTGCCCCTCAATCCCAAGCCACAGCCCCACCCCCCTGCCCCTCACTCCTGACCCACACTATCCTGCATCCTGCCAGAGCATGCAGGAACCCCCCTCCCTGGGCTCTAAACCCCACACACATGCCCACAGCCCTCCACACCTTCACAAATTCCCACACACACCCCATACCAGCCCTCGAAACATGCAAAGTACTTGCATAATTTGAGCTTGTTGTGCACAATTATGAGTTTTTAGTCATGCAATTAAAAAAGCAATTAATTTTGACTAATTTTTGTAATCATGAAAGTATACATCCCACTTTGGATCCAAAAGCATCACATAATTAAGTATTAAAAACAAAACTGATAGGATGGAACGAGCAAACTCATTCAAACAAATGTTCACCAGGGCACACTTGGGGAAAACCAGGAGTAATGGCCACAAACTCCTGGAAGACAGTTTCAGGCTTAACTCTAGGAAAAACTTCTTCACAGTCAGGATATCCAAACTGTGGAATAAACTCCATCCAAAGGTGGTGCAATCACCTTCCCTGGAAATCTTCAAGAGGGGACTGGGCGGTCACCTCACTGGGGTCACGTGATCCCAGGTGTCTTTCCTGCCTAGTGTAGGGGGGCTGGACCCAATGATCTTGCGAGGTCCCTTCCAGCCCCTTACAATCTATAAATCTATTACAATAATAATTACATTTTTTTCTTCATCCTCATTTGCCCTTGTCTGTTATCAAGTGTGATATTAATCTATACTCTCTGAAAGTCTTGGGCCCTGTCAGCACTAAATCTTTTCAAGCACCTACTCTTGTGGGTATTATAATAATTAATAATGACAGATCACTTGAGAAAGGAGACAGTGGTATATCATGCATGCCATAGTTTGAAGACATGGAATTTAGAAGGGAGAAGGAGAAGCAATGCTTAGGCATGACAAATCAGTATAGCACTGAGAAACATTTTAGCCAAGAAACCAAGAAAAGGAAACACAGAGGCAAATGGCAAAAGTAACCAACAGCAGCTTTTCAAAGAAGAAGAGGGCACAACCTCAAACTTCAGAACCCAGTATAATAACAAGGTTAGACAAAAATCCAAATGGGAAGACTCAATGAAGGATGAAGGTAGTGGACATGGATTTATATTATAGGATGCTTCTGTCTCTGTGACATGATGAAAGGTTTATAAATATTTATAAAGTTTACCAGAAAAGTGAAAGGAAAGCTTCACTGTCATCTCTGCTAATATGCACTGAGCATGCGATCACAGATATACTTTCAGGAACACTGCTTTCTCTATATATCTGCAAAAGTTTCAAAATGTGACAGTTTCCTAATTTTTGACTGACTATATCTTGTAAAGATTGAGAGGAACCTAAAACCAGCTAAAAACAAATAGCACTCTTTCTGTTGACTTGGATTTTAGTGTTGGCATAAATCCCTGTATACATCTCAACATACTTCTACTGCTTTTTTCCCCCAACAAATTTTAAATGAGCAGTTCAATTGCTTTTTTTCCTTTATGTCCAAACTTTATTTCTGCTGTCACTTGTTCCTAGGAAAATGTTGCAGGACACCATTAATGGCAGTCAAAGATAGCTCAATTATCCTCTTTGCAAGATATAAAGCACTAGCCCCCTAATATGTATTTGGCATAGTCACAATTTTACTGCCAGCTCCTCAACTCTACTGCTTTACACTTGATTTCAACAGTAACAACTGAGCTTTTATATCTTGTAAACTGATACAGAGAAGGCCTGATTTTGCAACAGGGCATTAAAAAATTAAGACGAAAAACCAATATCATTTTAATGAATTCCTGAACTGTTCTATTACGACAAGGATTTATGTTAAATTACAGCAGTTATTTAAAAGGTAAAGGGAAGAAACACTATGTCACTGAAAGGTTTCAGAACACTATGCACTTCAAATCCAAAAAGTTTATTCCAAAGACAATCAGTAGGTACAACACCTTCAGTTTATTCAAGTAGCGCCTTGTGTGGACAACCAAGAGATCTTCTTCAGTAGCTTCTCGTGCCTGAACGATCAAATCATCAGCAATTAGTTTTTCTTCTGAAATAACAAGAAATTAAAAAGAAGGAATTAAAGAATGATTTAGCTTTCCAGTTTTCACCCACCCAGGCTGTGTTTATAGTTCTTACCTGAATTACACCAAAACCAGATCTTTGACTCATAGTTAGTAAGTGCTTCCAATGCAGACACTGCATATAACCTATCGAATTGTTACTCATATACTTCAAATATGACAACATTTGTGGAAAAAAGAAAAATGCCATGATAGTTATTAATACCTTTAAAATGGTAATATTGTGTTTAAACTGGAAAAAAGCGATAAAGATTTTAGCTAGAGAATGGGTAATGCTAGGTTCAAAAATAAATGTCTCAAAGTACCCTCAGCTTAAGCACAAATGCAATCTGAAAATCCTAATACTTGTGTAATCATTTATTCACTGTAATTCTTTAATACTCTCTAATGAAAATTCCACAGCCAGGTGCTAGCCTTTAACCCACTAGATCACTTCAGCAGAAAATACCAAAATTCAAAGGATAACAACTACTGAGGTGTTCTGATAAATGAGCATTAAGCTTAATTGCTACATTTTACATTGGTAGACCCCCACTGATACTTAATTAGCACAACCTCAAAAGTGTGATTACTTGCTCTCCATTGTGAGTGACCAAAAGGTAACTTACTTAAAACTTAGTTTTACTGGTATAAACTATTAGTTTCTTTAGTGTCACCCAAGAAGCATTCCTATACAGAGTGATAGAACATTTGCATGTGTTTAAAGATGCAGGCAAATATATTTGTCGGAAAGTATACAAACCTTCATTTCAGTAAATCAGGAATAACTAACCAATTTAAGTCATACCTGGTTTGCGCGTGGTGATTAGTATTTAAAACAGAACTATGATGCTACCAGTTATCACACAAGTGCTCACCTGGGATAGCATCAACTAAATTTTCCCTCCATTTGTATGTAGTCTGAAAGGCGCCTTTTTACCGCATTTGACAGATTTTGTTTTCCACTGCCATGAAATAAAATATCCACATCTGCAAAGTCTGACCTCAGAGATCTCTGTGCTCCTCCTGGTCAGGACTTGAAAAATGTTACCTTATACATTTATGCAGGACAAACAGAAATTTTGTCTAAGTTACTTGGATCCAAAGATACAGTAACTTGGCTTTTTGAGATGCACAGAAGGGTAAGTTAAAGAAAAGTGTTGTTTTCTAGGAAGAAATAGATAAGAGAGTAGTCCAAATGGCAATAAATTTCCCAGAACTCAAAGGATAAAATGAACAGAGAGATTAAGAAGCCATTTTTTTCCATTGTACTGTAAAAGTGGTTTGGTACACTATTGCTTTTCCTGGGGGGGTGGGGGGGTGTCAAACTTATGGCCCATGAGCAAAGATGCATTTCACAGAGCTCTATCCTTTCCACTGTGGGACTTGTAGAGAAACTAGGAATTCGGGAGCAGTGCTTACTGCTGAAATCAGAGGAACAGAGCCCCACTGGGGATGCACATTGACAGTGGGAGGCAAGCAACAGCTGCAGTAACCCCCCACCACCACATGTCTCCACTGCCACATCTAGGATCCAGCCCACAAGGATCCCCACAGTCCAGGTATGGCTGGGTGGCAAGGTGAATTTAACACCCCTGCTTTAAAGCATACAGACTGTGGACAAGAGATGTGTATGGGCAGAAGGATCTGTAAGTGATACATATACAAAGAGAGATAGTCACATTGGACTGAAGTCAGACAAAGGACAGGGTAGAGATGCACCTTATACACTGAATCAGAGATGCATAAGCTTTTGTGAACCACAGCTCATTTCATCAGATGCTAAGAAAGGATATGAACAAAGCAGGCTATCAAATGGAGAGAGTGATTTGAGAGGTGGGAGAAGAGAACAGTGTGGAAAGGCAAACAAATAATAAACCCATAGGGACAAAGGGGTCACAAAAGCTAATCCAGGTAATGGGATAAACTGCCAGTTTGTCCCCCATGGCTATCTTGAGATTGTCGTCATTCTCCAGGAGGGGTAAGAGGTCATTAATGAAAGGTGTTCAAGCTGAGGGCTGTGAGTGACAACTGCTGGCCTTGTCTCAGGGCTGGTACTGGAGCAGGTCAGAGCAGGATCTGACTCTGGCTTTGTTGATCTGTGTGGCTACAGTTTTGGGATTATACTGTAAGTGTAGGAATCCTGCTCCAAGTCCTTAAGGTGTGCATCCCAGTTAATGGGATCCGAGCAGATACAGTTGTACCATACAGGGAGCCTGGTTATAGATTATGAGAGTCTAGTGGTGTATTTCATTATTTGATAGCCTGCTCTGGGCAGGTCCTTTTACAGCATCTGATAAACAGAGCTCTTACTCATGAAAGTTTAGGCATATCTGATTAAGTTAGCCTACTAGGTGCATCTCTACCCTGCCACAGATATACAGAAAGCAGCAACAACAGAAAAGCTTAATAAAAAAAAGCAGAAGGACCCAGTGTTTGTTAATTAAGAGGAAGTGATTGAAGCCAAAATTCATTAAGGGAGGGCTTTAGGAGAGGTAAGCTGTAGATTGGAGGAAATATTAGGATTCATTTGAGTGATGTGTATATATGCCAGATGTAGGCAGGCAGGAGTTAACCAGTGTTCAGGGACAGGGAGAATTTACCAAGGGAGACGTGACTGCATGACTAGGCATGCATCCAGCATAAATGGACTAGGCATGGATCTGGGATAGCCACTGGCTTGGGAGTAGGGAAAGAAACGTATTTTTGACCTAGGCTAGGAGGCATAATCCTACAGTGAAAAGGTATTGAATTTGCATAAGCCTGATCCTGATGTTAATACTTACTTACACGTCAAACTCCCTACAGGATTCCTGCTTACGCACTGTCATCTGGGTAAACAACAATAATAGTGCCTGCCATCAGAAATCTTTATGCCTTTTATCAGATGGTCTCAAAGCACTTCACAAACATTAATTATCAAAACAGTATTATGAGGCTGGTAAAAAAAAATAGATATATACAAGTTTTCTTTCTCCTAAAAATATGATTTGCTATTTTATTTATAATATATTGGGTTCTATCTGCAAACTCGAGACTCTATAACTCACTGCAGACTCTATATATTTTAACACAGCAATGAAGTCATTAAAACTTTTTCATTCTGGATGTCAGAAGGGAACACTCCCTCTCCTGTTATACAGGCAGTCCTCGACTTAGGTTTCACACACTTACAACGTTTATAAATTGACACCCTATTTCAACTTTCTGACATCAGTTTCAATTTTACAACACTTGATCGGATGCCACACCACACCGGCGAACAAGTTCACTGTGTCACCCATCTCTCTGCAGAACACCTGTCCAAAGTTCCTTGAACATATCCTTTAAGTAAGCAGACAAGACTCCAGAAAAACCTGCAGCCAAGACTCCTGAGAAGACTCCAACCAAGAACCCTTCAAAAAGTCCAGCAAAGTCACCTCAAACAAGTCCTTCCAAATCAATATGATTGCTATTTACAATACAAATACATTAATGTAGCTACATTACTCATATATAATTGATTGAGTGTAAAATTCTGGGTTATTTTTGGTGAAAACAGGGTATCAGGCCTTGGTTCAGGAACCAATCCCACATTTATAGCATTGTTTCCTATGGGAAAAGTGGTTCCGAGTTACAACGTTTTGACTTAAGATGTGGTTTTCAGGAACCAATTGTATGGTAAACCCGAGGACTGCCGGTACTATTCTAGAGATTCAACAAAAGTGCTTCAGCTACACAAACACAATGCAATATTGCTCTTGGAAGCCATGTCTTTCACATACTTCTCACTTATAGCATCAACAGGAAAGATTTTTCCATTCACTCCAGCAACACTGTAGACAAAGTGGCACTCTATTTTCAGGATTAGCCTTAAAATCAAACAGGAACTGGACCTGCAAAACAATCTACTTTAAAGGGCATGTGGCAACAGCCATTTAATTTTGCTCCTCTTCCTTTCCACTGTCATCTAGAACTGATTAAAAAATTATATGTAACCACTTTGAAAACAAAATGAATATTATATTAAATGTAAAACATTAACTACATCTAGCTCTTTAAAAAAATAGTCAGCTAGGAAAAGTGATCAGTAGCAAACATAAGTCATTAGAGTCTGTCAACTGTTTGATGGCATATATAAATGTGTAATGTCAGTCCAGTTCTCTGACTTGTAGATAAAAGGCCAACTGCCATTAAGCTGGCAAGCCTACAGAGACTCAAGAGTGACAGCTATGGAAGTCAGACTGTAACTTATATCATACCTTAGAACTGGTATGATACAAAAAACAAAAGTGCAGGTTCAACAGAGTACCAAGGAGGGGATTTGTGCTCTTGAACCTGCAGCTCTGAAATCCTGCATCTTGCATGGCACAAGCAGCCAAGTCCTATGTTTGGCTCAAGCAGTTGCATTCAGAATATTAACTTCACAGGTGAAGGGGTATGAAAACATACACATATACATCTTTATAGTCTCAATCAATTCTGAATTAGCTTGTTTATCTTTAAAATATAGAGTACAAAAGAAAGAATAACCTTATATAAGACATAAAAACTTCACTGACCTTTTTAGTATCCTCTCTGTACTATACACAGGTTCTGAATACTTTCACAGTTTGAAAAAATGCACTTGACTACTTGTCAGTGGAAAATGGGAAACTTTCTGTGGTGACTGGAGCTATGCAGGCTAAGCAACCAATTTAGCAGAACTGCAGCTAGGATTAAAAGGTTTCTAGCCCCCAATTTGAAAACAGCATATTCTTGTCTTACTGTCTTCAGATTCAGATGTCATCCTATACCAGTGGGGCTCAGCCTTTTAGAGCAGCAGGCCAGGTGCTTGGCTGCACCATAGGCTGCCACTTCCCTCTAGCAGGGGAGCAGCTACCAATATCAGCAGGAGATGGAAGAAGGGGTGGAGGGGATCAGCAGGATGGCACAAGGCAGGGAAGAGGATGCGGTGGGCCAAAATGCTTGACAACCCTTGACATAGCATGGGGGCAACATCTGTACAGAGTGTGCAGCTGGATGCTGAGCGGTGGTGGGGGGCTACACTTACCCCTAGGGGTACTTTGACCAGTCCTAGGGGGTGTGTGTGGGCAGGAGGGGACAGAGTGCTGCCACCTCCCAGGAGCAGGACCGGGGCAGGGCGAGGGCAGTGGTACCCCTCTGCAGGGTGGGGAAGCTCACATGTAGCAGCAGCCTGGTGAGCTTCCCCACCCCACAGAGGGATGCTGGTGCCCTCACCCCAGCCCGGTAAGCTTCTCCACCCCCCGACTCCGATCCTGGGAGGCAGTGGCACTCCATCCCCACCTGCTCATGGTGTCTGGCCATGCGCCACTCCCCACCCCTCAGAGTTCAGCCATGAACTCACCCCCACTCAGCATCCAGCCGCAGGCTCTCCCCTGGCATCTGACCACCAGGGTACTTAGACTAAAAAAGGGTGAAAACCTCTGGGCTATGTCATGGGGCAGATTCAGTCTCTTTAGGGGCTGGATATGGCCAGAAGGCCACAGGTTGAGCACTATACAGAGTTCCAGTTGATCAACATTGTTTATAGCTTTATCAAACAGTTGACCAAACCGAAATGAACAAACTCCTTACTTTTATTTATATTATCCAAATTTATGGGGTGAGATTGACAAACATGCTCCAATACTTCTTGGACTGCCAAATACACAACATGACTCAAATACAGTCACAACTGTGTCGCATGGTGCTTTGCCAGATGCTGGCATGGAATATAGGATTATTCAGCCAAATCCAGGCTTCAGAGAGAATGGATGTGGGATCTTTAATGTCAGATCAGACAGAATTTTTGTTTCTAAAGGTCTCATTTGCAAGATCTTCAACAATTAGCCCTCAGATATGTTAAGGGCTAGAGTTAAACTTACTGAGATTTAAGCTTTACAGACATTGAAATATTACACACATAAAAATACTCAGTTTGCACAGATTCTATTAAAAAAAACAAGCACATAAAATGGTAATGTAAAGCAGTAATTTTCTGCATTAGAAATTACCACAGTAAAGGCTTATAACGCCTTGCCTAAAATGTTGGTTTTATTAAAAAGTTTGACATTATTTTTACCTTTCAAGAAATTGATTACTTTTCCCCATTTTCCTGCATCAAATGGATGTAACTTCTCCAGTCCCATAAACGTGATATTGTAGTCTGGAGAATATACAATAGGCCAGCATGCTGATGGGACATCATGATACAGCTCAGTTCTGTGAGGCCTAAAGAAGAGAGAACCATTTCTAAAGACCGATAAGAGAAAAATCTAATACAACTGAAGTCCTCCAAATGATTAGGATTAAAGTTCTGTACAAATGCTGCTTCCCAATCAGTACTCAGCTTCTCTCCTAGCCACATAAGGACATTATCTCCTTAGTGCTCTTTTCTGCAGTAGGAAGGAAAAGGTCCAACTTGCCTAGGGACCTGAATGAAGTAACATGTCAAAACATGCAGTGAACACAAATGATTGTGTATATTAATTCTTTCCAGCAATTAACTTAATCAACAGCAAGATTCAATCCCATTTCTATCTCCTTCTAGTCTTCTCTGGGTTGGTTAAAGCCTAACTCATGCTAAATTTAAAAAACATACAAGCTATTCCTCACATAATTTAATCTACATCTTATTTTGCATTAATAGACTCAACTACCTCAAAAGAAGTAACTGTGCTATTCTGAAGTTAGATAGAAGGCAAGGCAGAAGTGCACCTACAGACTAAGTGAATCAGAGGGCCCTGCTACATGTTCAAACGAAAGCTGGATAGAGACCAGCTATGGAGTTGTTATACATTTTCAAGCACTAACTTTAGAGCTAGTTAGCTCTTTTTTTTTTTTAGCCAGATTGTCACATGCTAAAAATGACTATTACTTTGTACATGTGGCTGGTCTACATTTATTGCAAGATTAGCCGGTGAATTGTGTGATAATTACTTTGTACTTGCAGCTGGTCTTACTCCAAGCATGTGGCCTGTCTAAATTTATTGCATGATTGACCAGCTCATATGCTGGGGCCAGGGATCCATAAGCTTTTTGTAAGAGAGAGCTCACTTCACCAGATGCAAGGACATGAAGAGAGGAGACTATCAAACAGAAGCTCTACTCTAGAAGAAGAGAATTTAAATTTAAAAGGGAAGGGGAAGAACGAAGGAAAAGGGGCAGGGCTGAGAGAGGCAGAGGGGGTTGGACTCAACAGCAAAACGATGACTGCTTGGAGACAGCTGCAGTGGCCAGCTGGGTTCCAAAATCTGGTGGCCACTGCAAGCTTTCACTGTGGCATCTACAAAATAAATTTGCTGGGAACTGAGTTCCAGAATCAGTCCAAGAGAGAGGGGAAGAAGGTGCTACAGCCCTGGTGGACCTTTCCTAGAGACTCCTTCCCACATGCCCCTGTGACAGCGGAGATAAACATGGAACTGGGGCACGGCACAGCACAGCACAGCACAGCAGGCACGGCCGGACTGCTCACGCAGGGCTCCACCGAGGAGGCTACCGAGTCTTACCCGTTACCTGGGCTGGCTTTTACTGCTCTCTCCACCCCTCTACCTCAGCAAGCCCGCACCCCTCTGGCAGGCCACCTGGGACTGGAAGGACCCAGGATCCAGCCCCGGTGTCACATAAGCAAGTTGCTGACATGCAGGAGACTGGCAGCAGGGCGGCAGTTCAGGGTCAACCTGCCAGGGAGAGTCGCGCCCACCTCGCCGTGCCAGGGCCGGGTGCGGTGCGGCGGGCCGGGCCGGGCCAAGGCTCCTTTCCTGCCCCGGCGCTGCCCCCTGGCCCCGCACACAAGAGGCCCCCGTGCAGAGGGAGGCGGCGACAACTCGGCCGCAGGCCCCGGCCCCCCCCGGGGCGTCCGGGCTTTTAACGGGCCCCGCAGGCCTCTCCCCCCGGCAGGGACAACCCTCCCCGCAGCCGGCAGCGCCGCGGCAGCTACTCACATGGCGCCACACGTACCCGCGCCCGGCCGCGCCGCCAGTACCACGGCGGGAGGGGCCGGCCAGAGCCCGGCCCCGGCCGCGGCGGGGGG